CTCCCTCAGCACTGACCCTCCGACAGTGCGGTGCTCCCTCACCACTGACCCTCCGACAGTGCGGCGCTCCCTCACTACTGACCCTCCGACAGTGCAGCGCTCCCTCACCACTGACCCTCCGACAGTGCAGTGCTCCCTCAGCACTGACCATCCGACAGTGCGGTGCTCCCTCAGCATTGACCCTCCGACAGTGCGGCGTTCCCTCACCACTGACCCTCCGACAGTGCGATGTTCCCTCAGCACTGAGCAAGGGAGAGATTCACCTTTTGCGTGGCATCTTCTTTTTCTTGTTCAGCTGCTGCTCGCGTTCTTTGACATCCTCAAAGTCAGACGAGTCGAGGTCACTGGCCAACGAGACATTGTCCACCATCTCCGGGTCTGAGAGGTTGATACCGTCCTGGTCGAGCAGCCCCTCCTCCAGGGCCTTGTCTGCCATCTTCATGTCACCCTGTTCAATCTCCTTCAGCTGGGGGTTGGGGTGGAGTGCAACATGAGATGTATAAACTGCAATAGCAATAGGCGCGTTCAGCCACTATCTCCCTTCTAGGCCTGTCTGCAAGAAGCTGATTCAGTTACCCTCATCATACAATCCCTACAGAGTGGAAGCAGGCTATTCGGCCCATCGAGCCCACACTGACCCTCTGAACAGCATCCTGCCCAGAGCCATCACCCTATACTATCCCTGTAACCCTGTATTTCCGCATGGCTAACCACCCTAACCCGCACGTCCCTGGGCACTATGGGACAATTTAGCACGGCCAATCCACCCTAACCTGCACATCGTTGCAGGAAACCGGAGCACCCAGAGGAAACCCACGCAGACATGGGAAGAATGTGTAAACTCCACACAGACAGTCGAACCCGGGGTGAGACGGCGCGAGGGAGGCGGAGGGGGAGAGACGGCGCGAGGGAGGCGGAGGGGGGGAGAGTGTGCATCAAGAGGGCAAAGAATGCAGCAGGGAGGCCATGAGGAACGGGGAAAGCTGCAGTGACTGACCTTTTTGTGGTTGATGGCTTTCAGGGAGAAGAGGCAGACCTCAGCGTCGTCAGCGATGGAGACACCGGGTAGGTCCATCTTCAGCTCAATCCTTTCCCTCTGCTTCCTCCGCTCCTTCAGAACTTTCTTCTTCTTCCTGTTGAGGGGCAGGTAGGAAAGACAACTTCTGTGGGACTGTGGTGCAGAAATCTGTGCGAGCAGCTTTCCTCAGGGATATTCTGCCCTGAGACAGTCTTGGGATTGGCTTTTCAATCAGAATCAGTTGTTGCGCGCTCAGTCGGGGCTCAGCGTGGCAATAACTATTCGATAGGTTCCTGGGCAGGTGACCCTCTCCACCTTGAGTGTGGGCAATGCAGCAGGAAATCTCAGAGTAGGAAGAGATAGCACCCCCTCTGCCTCTCGCCATACTGTGGGAAGAGACAGAAACAAAAAAGCCTAGCTGCAAGCCTAGCTGCTAGAGACTCTCCCTCACCTTTCCTCTGTTGGTAGTTTCCAGTGTGGAAAGCGAGTGAGGAAAGCCATTGCCAGAGGCAGTGGAAGGACACATTCTTGAGCACCGAGCGAAAGACAGAGTCATAAAATCCACAACCCCACATCGTCAGCAATCAATCGGGAGAGGTCAAAAGAAAAGAACTCAGTGACGCCTGTGATCCAGACTGGTGCCAGAACTGTGCTAATTGGCATCTGATTTTCCCCACACACCCACAAGATCTGTATCTCGCCTGGTCTCTCAGCATTTGTCCTTTGCTCTGCGTGCCTATCGTGGTACGCACAGGAGTGTTAAGGGGCAGAGTCACAGTTATCCAGTTATGGATTAGCAGTTCGACTGTTCTACTTTTTGCAATAATTTGAATATCTTGTTAAAGGAAAAAAAAATCACACGCGCGCGCACACACACGTGCACACACAGGCACACACACAGGCACACGTGCAGGACCTAAAATGCCACCATTATCTTGGGGGATTCATCCACGCAAAGGCTGGGGGGGAAATAAAAAATCAGAAGGCATGCTAGGACTTTATCAAATGTTTTCAGGATAGTTTCCTACAATCACTGGAGCTAAACAGACAGCAGGTTATATCAGATGTAGCACTGCGTTAAACTTATCAATCACCTCTGTGTAATGAGAGGTCAGCAATATATGCAGTGGGACCACGACAACTTCAGCTGTACTGTGCAACAGAGTCGGGGAGGGGGGCAGAGAGAGTCGGGGGGAGTGGGGGGGGGAGAGAGAGAGAGAGAGAGAGTCGGGGAGGAGGGAAGAGAGAGAGAGAGAATCAAGGCGGGGAGGGAGAGACAGAGAGAGACAGACAGACAGAGTTGGGGGTGAGAGAGAGAAAGAGACAGTTGGGGGTGAGAGAGAGAGACACAGAGTGAGAGAGAATGCTAGGAGAGTGACAGAGTGGGTCTGAAACTCACAAGTCAGCAATCCCTATTATGACTATTTCCTTCCCAATGCATGATAACCTTCAGTTTTCCTGTTTTATTATATAGAGTGCATTGCTTTATCTTCATATTTTCATTTTTAGTATGATTTCTCTCACTTTTGGACTCATCAGTATCAATGGTATGAGATGTTCACAAGGCATTAAGATGAATCAATCAAACTGCAGAAGCCTAGTGAATGGGCAAGAACAGTACCAATGGAATATAATGTGGAAAAACGTGGACGTTGCCCACTTTAGTTACGAGAGGGGGAGTGTGAACCTGAGCGAAGTATTTTAAACTAAAATAAGGGCCATTATATGGGGTGTGAATAAAATCAACTGGCAAATTAGATTAAGGGATAGTTCGATAGAGGTGCAGTGGCAGGCATTTCAGGGGGTATTTGAGAATACACAGGATTGATATGTTCCAGTGAGAAAGAAGGGAGGAGTCTAAGGAAAAGGTACACCACCTGGATAACTAAACAATGTAAAGATTGTATTAAATGCGACCGAAAAGCAAACAACTGCACAAGGATAGGAGGCAAGTCAGATGTTTAGATAGAATATAAAACACAGTAAAGACTGAAAGATTAAATAGGGAGGGGAAGATTAGAATCGGAGAGAAAACTAGCTTGAAATAAAAAGTCACTGAGAGCTTCTACATATATCGCAGAATCCCTGTAGTGTGGAAGCAGGCCATTCAGCCCATTAAATCCACACTGACCCTCTGAAAGGCATCTTCACCTTCCCCCCACCCCCCCAACCTATCCCTGTAATCCTGTGTGTTCCATAGCTAATCCACCGTAACCCGCACATCCCTGGGCACTACGGGACAATTTAGCACGGCTAATCCACCCTAACCCGCACATCCCTGGGCACTACGGGACAATTTAGCACGGCTAATCCACCCTAACCCGCACATCCCTGGCCACTATGGGACAATTTAGCACGGCCAATCCACCCTAACCTGCACATCCCTGGGCACTATGGGACAATTTAGC